TACTACGACATAAATATACAAACTACTACATATTGTCATTTCGTTATTTTTTTCTTTGTATTTTATTCATTGATTCAGCTTTAATATGCAACTAACTTCTCCTGATGCTATTTCATGCATGATTATGAAACAAAAGAAGACCTTTCTCTTCGTTAGCCCTTACATCCATAGTCACATCTTCAACATTGATCACTTCAAACTTAACAAGAAAAGACTTTCCTTTGTGTCTGTTGAAAAAATCAAAACTTCGAATATTAGAAAGATCTATCTAGAACATAAGTTTCTCGTAGCAAAGCATTGAATTGTTTGTGTAACTGTAATTCAGTTCGACTACACTTTCAATTGATCATGTTTATTCAGTGATCTGAACTTCAGATCATTATAGGCTTCCAAATGTTCTTGTTCAATAACGTTAATATCAAAACGTTTCCTTTTATTAATGATTCTTGATAAGATATAGGACATAAATTAAAATTAAAGAGATCGTTAGAGAAAATAGCTAAAATCAAAATAATTACACTTGAAAAGATTGATGATCAACCATTGTTGAGAATTTTCTTTCTTTTTCACGAAACCATTTAATCCTTTTAATCCAAGTTGTTGACAAACTCCATTCACATATAAATTTAATAGTGGATAAATGTTCAATATGTTCGAGAATCAATTTAACGAAATATTACAGTACATTCAACTTCTATATTCGATCGTTACCTACCATTATTCTTTAGTTCAAAAATACAAACATCGGGCTCTTTTTCTAGTATAGTATTAGTTCACATACCAAATACTTATGAGAAATTTTCAAATGAAAATTTTTAAATTAAGACCGTCTCTCATGAATAAAATATTTTCATTGTGAGAAACATCGTAGATTTTCAAAATCAAAAAAAAATTATTTGCTGTTAACTTAAAATAAATAATGGATGAGATAGAAGAAAAGTTTTTCTCAGTGATTGGTCGAAAATCGAATATTATTTAATTCAATGTTTGAATAAATCTTTCGAAAAATTAATTTTCTGATATTTTCTAGTGAAACGAGTCAATAAAAACAATGGATACGAGTTTTCAATGGATAATTAAAAAGTTTTATCGTCAACCGATTGTAGATGTTGATGATAGAATAACATTTTCTGCAAACATGATGAGATAAAAAGAGAAAGACATATTAAGTATATTACATTCTTCAGTTTGAAGTTGAATTTTATTTTTCAAATTAGTCTATACAATACGTTGATATTTTTATTCTTATCAATCAGTATTGTATGAATGCACAAGAATCAACATAAGAAAATCGTATTGATATGCGTTTGAAAAATCTTCAAATGAATCACAAGTTTAAATCCTATTCAAACTAGAGACAAGTTATTCGTTGGGGGAATGGTGTCGTAAAAAAATCATAGCTGTTGAAATACTGTATTTAGCAAGAAAATGATCAAATAGATTATGTTTTTTGTTTTGACTGTGAATGAGAGCGTGAAACGAACCAACTTTTTCATCCTCATGTGCAGTTTGGTTCGATTGTTGTCATAAGATGACTTAGATTCACTCGATAATATTTCCAAGCCAGTGCATCTTTCTTTCAGGAATGTATTCAGAGGAGATGACTGGGAATCTGTCTCTCTCGAAAAGATTTAAATACCTAGAGAGAAAGAGGTATGGCATGATTTGTTTCCATAAGACAAAATTCATCTGTTACCTATGACATCTCTCCTACCGAAAAATTCTTAGCTATGTCTCTGCTTTCTTTTCTTCCTGTCTTCTACATTATCACATATGGAATTTTCCTTTCATATCTCTTTTGTCATCTGTACTTATCCTTTATTCTTTTTCCCATTATAGTGTTTTTCCTATCTTGTTTATCATTACGAATGTTTACATTACATTCACTTATATGTATATATACAGAATGTAATTTCGCAATAAACAACATTCTGACGAACAGATATTCATTTTATTCTATCTTCAGAGTTAGTCTTGTAAGAAGATTTTATTTTTTATAATTGTAAGAATGAGAGTTTTAACGATTCCAGGATGTAGATGTGGGTATGAATATTGGTGAAGAGCAGAACCATATCGATACTCACACGTATACCCCATGCCAAAAGCAATATAAAAGTAATTCGACATCGTGGTCATAGTGTTGGTTCTGGAAATATTTCTGCAATATATTCTTCTCATCATGAAAAAACTATTATTATTGATCAACGAATTGCTTTTATTGGAGGAACATAGGTTAGTTATTTTTCAAATTTTAATTTTATTATATTTTTTAAGATCTTTTATATATTAATTTATTTTTTGAATAGAATAATAGATTGGGGTGATGAAAATATAACGGAATTAAAGCTTCCAAGTGAAATAATTGATCAATCTAAAGAAGAAGCTGCAACTAATACTATAGAAAAAATGGCAAACAATTCTATCCTTGGAAAAATTGTAAGAATATTCTCTTCTTTTCAATTTAATTCGAAGTCTAACTTAATCTAAGTCGAATAATTGTCATGTATATATTAACGATAATACTTTCTGATGTTTTAATATGACATGTTTTTTTGATTCATAGAATTCGAAAGAAAAAATTCTTATTAAGAATTTAAAAGATTTGAAGATATTTTAGAAAATATTTCCTTTTTTTTTGTGAAACTTATTTATACTTTCGAAGAAAAATCGATTATCAAAAGATTCGCGAAAACTTAATAATAAAACTCAGCTGTTAAAGATGCAGTCTGAAAACTGTAGAATCTTCTTTTCTGTTCATTTTAAGAAAATTACTCAACAATCACTCATAAATAGAAACGAATCTTATTGGCATTCATCATCATTTAGATTTCAAAATTTTTCCTTTTCATCTTCTGATCTTCAAATAACTCTTTTCAAACAAAATCAATTCCTAATGACAGTAGTACATCGATCATGTAATATTCTTCCTGTTCAATCAAAATTAACTACTTATCAAAAGAATATATTAAAAACGTTCATTTCAGTTAAGTTCGTATAAACAGACGGACCATGATTAGAAGATTCTATCAAAGACATTATAGCTGTTATTGCTATTTCTGTCGTCATTTTACTTCTAATAAATTATATGTCTTTGAGAAGAATCAGAAATTTCTTTATAAATAATTAAATACATAAAAAATACAAGCCGAATGAAATTTCTCAGATTTAGAGAAGAAAAGTAAGCTCTTCAGGACGTCAAACTATTTCCTTATAACTACTTATAGTACCACAAAATGACTGGAATGAACTGAACCCACTCTAGTCTAAATTATTGACGCCATTGCTATTTGTTACATAAATCAGTTTAAAAAAAACAAAGCTACAAAAGTATCACAGGAAAACTCTTCGTTTTTATAATATAAAAATCAATAGACTAGTTGAAATCGATTTTATTATGAATAATAATTAAATTTTATTTATAAAAGGTTACTTCAACAATAATTTCAAGACCATTGATTAATGAAATAAATTCTGATCAAGAAGAAGAAGATCTAGTATTAAAAACAAATCAAAATAAAAGTTGTTGTTTTTTCTTTCATTATTTCTCAATAATTATTTATTCATATTGATTGAAATAGATCTTAATGATGATCAAACAAAAACATTTGGTAATATTCTTATTTAGTTTTGAAATAAATTTAATTATTTTAATTTTAAGGATCAATGAATTCCATAAATAAATTAAATCTTACCGAAAGAAAACTTTTAAATGAAGAAGATAATATTCAAAAACAATCTTATAAATATAAAAAGAACTGGAAAAAAATACTGAAGGTTAATTATTTTATAGAATTATTTCTAAATTCTATTTTGTTTGTTTTTTCTAAATAATAGAAACATAAAAAAAATAAAAGTGAAGATTCATCATCAGATGATGATGAAGAAATTCTACAAGAAGAATCAATTGAAAATAAATTTAAATCAATTATTAATATAACACCAGTTTTAAATAAAAAACGTCGATATTTTTTAGGCAAAGATTATTCAAATCCTTATACAAAAGATTTTGAATTTCTACATAAATTCGATGAAGGTTAATCATTTTATATCAGAATTAATATGAAATAATTCATTTTTCTTTTATAAAAGATTATATCGATCGAAAAAATCATCCACGAGTGCCATGGTATGATGAAGGTTTAGTTGTTAGTGGAGAAGCAGCAAGAGATTGTGCAAGACATTTTATTCAACGATGGAATATTCATAAGGTTTTATTATATATAATTTGAAAATTTTCTATATTTTCATCTCTTATATTATTGAATAGGCAAGTAAATATCCTAACAATGCTTTATATCCATATATTCTTCCAAAAACTTATGATGATAAAGAATTAATTGATTCATCAATGCTTTATAAAATTCTTGGAGAAGAACGAAAACCTATTTGTGTTGATGCTCAATGTGTTCGTTCTGTTTCATATTGGTCATGTGGAGTACGTGATATTGAATGTTCAATACAAAATGCTTATATTGATATGATTTATAATGCTCAACATTTTATTTATATTGAAGTAAATTTTTTTTTGTCTATTATTATTTATTTAATAGAAAAAAAAAGAAAATTATTTATTTAGAATCAATTTTTTGTCACAACTGTTCAAGATCAAAAAATAAAAAATAGAATTGGTGATGCACTTTATAATCGTATAATACGTGCTCATATGAATAAAGAAAAATTTCGTGTGTATGTTGTATTACCATTATTACCTGGATTTTCGAATGTTAATGTTGTTCAAGCTATTCTTGAACTTATTATGAAATCAATTAATAAAGGAGAAACATCAATTTATCAAAGATTAAAAAATCATGGTATTTGTTTTTTGTTAGTCTCTAGAACAAATAAGATTAATTGACATTTTTTTTTGTCAATGAAAATTTAATTGAAATCGAATTTTATTTAACATTTTCATATGAAATGAAGTATTTATCTAAATTGAATTTACTATAAAATCATATTCTATTTGTTATATTGTTCAATTTGAATACTTATCTCGTAGTTAATATAGAATATCGGTTTATATAACGTTAAAAATCAATTACATCTAAAGAAAAAAGGTCGTGTCATATCGTTTTTGAATCGAGAGTATAAACATCACGTGGGCCCTAATAATCTATGAACACCCCGAAAAAGAGTTCGTGCTGCTGGCTGATTAGTGCCGAGATATTGCATTTTTACGGTAGTTTTAAACACAAAGCTGTGGCCTCCGTCAAGAACACCAGGAAAATTAAGTTTCGAATTCCGAGCGGAAATTTCGCATAGAGATAAGTTTCAATAAGAATAATTTACTGTGGAAATTTCAGATCTTTTGATTGTATGTATTCTAAAATATAGCTATGGTAAACTTGATTATCAAGTTCCTTTAGATAAATTCACAATGAATTTAATAAGTCTAATAAATAGTACATCATTTAATTATCTATTCTTTAATTGAATAACTTTTATGTAGAAAATCTCTTGATTAATATTATTTATTGAAATAGGTATATCTAATCCTGAAGAATATATAACATTTTATGGAATGCGTAATTGGGATATATTAATGGGTACATTAGTAAGTATTTATTATTGTTTTATTTTATAACATAAAACAAAAACAAAAAACAAAATGCAACTTTATAAAGGTAACAGAAATAGTTTATGTTCATTCAAAATTAATGATTGTTGATGATCGAAAGTGTATATGCGGATTATTAATGATATTGAAATGATTGATTCACAGCTAAATGGTCAAACACAAAAAGTTGGAATTTTTTGTTCAACATGGCGAAAGAAATTATTTTGGTTTGATTTTGTTATTTATTTATAGAGTAAATCTATATATGAACTTTTTATAGACAAATGTTAGGTATTCAAAATAAACAAGACATGAGTGTTGAAGGTCCATGTTCTGATGAATTTTACGAATATTTTCGTCGAATAGCAAAAAGTAATGCACAAATTTATGAAGAAGTTTTTAATACATTGCCTAACAATCATGTAAGAACTTGGGCTGATGTTAACATATATAGACAACGATCTAAATTGAGAGATACTGATCCATTAGTTGTATGTTTAATCTTATCTATTATTAGATTTTTATTTAAATCAAATATTTATTTATGTTTTTAAATTAAGTCACATGAAAAATGCAAAAAAATTCAAGGTTTTATTATTGAATTTCCATTAGAATTTGTAGCTGACGATGTTCTTTTTCCCAAATGGACTACAACAGAAGGTCAAAGCTTGTATAAATTATTTTTATTTAAAATAAATTTTTAACTTTTATAGGTATACTTCCCGTTTCTGTATGGGCATAAGCAAAGTATTTTATAGAAAGAAAAAAACAAATTTTGCTTTATTTTCCATAGAATTATTTTTACACTTATTCGTATATCGCGCACATTTATCAGCGTTTTATCTATCGTTATTAAATAATCCAATAAATAAATAAACAAATAAAATGTAGACTATATCATTAAATTAAATCTGATTTTATTCAAATAAATTATTATGAAATTATTTCTTTATTATTAAAAATTGATATCAGCTATCATATGAAACAAAATGATGAAATGGTATGTTTAGCTATCAATTGAAATTCATCAAGAAAGATCATCATTAATGAGAAAACAGAAGGACTGAATATAGGTTACATCTTAGGAAGGAGGATCTATCGTGCGGACAAGCTATATTGTCCTGTACATACAGAAGCATATTACAATGTAGACTACTAGAATGATAAATGTAGATGTTGTGTTTTCATTCTCATACTTTTTATTATTTTCTTTTGCAAAAAACATATAACAGTATTATGAATTTTTGAATGATTTTTCAATTTTTATCAAGAGTATCATAAATGAAAAAGAGACAGTAGAATATATTGAATTTTTCTTTTATTTGACATCTGCTCTCATATAGGTAGATACTTATTTCAGATCAATTCGATTGAGAGATCAAATATAATTCAAATCGATTTCTTACTTGGTTACAATTTAATCATATAATGGCGATATTGTCAGCCATAACGATAATGTTTCTTAAAGAAATAATTATCGTGTTAAATCAGATAACGAACTAGACTGTTTCTTTTGTATTCATATTTTACAAAAAATGAATTTACACTAGATGAAAACAATGATGACAAAAGAATAATTTCAATGAACAATCTTTTTTTTTCTTTATAAGGGTGTGAGTGTGGATGTGGGAGGAGGGGATGGATGTGGTTATGGCTGTGGGTGGTGCGAAAGAAGAGAAGGTCTGGGTGTGTGGGTGTGAGTCTTGTTTTCATCCACCCCCATACCCACACCCTGAAGATTCCGGTTGCATAGGTGAAATGTTAGCTACATGGTTGCTTCACTTACAACCTTATCTTCACAGCTCTTATCTTATACTTCTATGTGTTTCTATCTTTTTGAGAAGTTGTAAGCCATCAAAAAGTGACATTTTCAAGGCACGATCGTGTTACTGTAAAGAACCAAAACACGTAATAAGCTTAAATCACGGACTTCTTTGTTTTTTTCAATTGTCATTAACAGTTCTCGGTTTTGACCAGAGTCAATATGTGCTATAATAAAGATGTGAATTCATTTTCATATTTTCATCGAATGTGTTCGTTGTGATGGTTCTTATCGATTTTAAGCAAACAACCATCAGTTATCTATTTGATATAAATATACTTGTGCGCCTGCATCTTTCTATCATCTTATCAGTCTTACCTTTACAAATACTGAGCAAACACAGAATTTCTACTCTATATAAAGGCTCTCTTCTTGCGAAATTTCCATGCACATGGCCCAACCGATTCCAGTCAGCATTTGCCAACTAACCTGTACAACTCGTGACATGAAGACTATTACAGCACTTCTAGCCATCCTTCACCATCATAATTTTGAAATCAAGCCTGTGTCTCCTGGTACAAATTTTATGTGTTACACCTGTATTCATCGTGAATCAGGTGCCAATGGTAACCAAATTCATCAAGAAATGATGGCAATCATGAAATCTGCCAAAAAGGACACATGCGAATATACTAATTGGACATTTGCTTGAGAAAACGCATCGTTTCCTTGTTTATTCTATTTCTTTATATGCTTGAATACACTTTTTATAATTCCCAAAAGCACCAAATGATGAATATTTATTTTTGTCCTTTATTTTTACGAACAACTTGAGAAAAAGAACACGAATTTGTTTTTTCTGAAACTTCTGGCTATCAGAATGAGTCTTCGACTAGCAAAACATTACCGAAACAATGATTCAATACACTTTCATTGGTGATCTCATGCCTACCAGCGATCATTGCAAATTATTTTCATTGAATTATTTCGATTGCAATATGAAAATACATCACTTTTGCCTTCCAAATATCTTGAGGTTGAGGATGAATAAAAATAGAAGAAAATAATCGACAATAAGTTGGGTGTGGGCGTGGATGTAATTGAGATAGAATCAATCATATATATATAGCTAGCAAGACGCGTTTCGATAAGTGCTAAAGTTAAGACTTATCAATTGCTTAAAGTAGTATAATTGATGTTAAAGAATAGTTTTCCTACTATGAATAATTATACTCAAAAGTTTAAAGTAAAACTTTCAAGCTGATAATATTCATATGATACAATATATCGAAAGTTCGAAAACTTCCAATATTCTGTAGAAGAGATTCTCCAACTTCTGAGATTCGTATTATTTATTGACTAACGAGGGAGGTTCCCCAACTGTTTAAAAGCTTTCGGCTTCATCTTTTGGTCATAGATAGGCCTCAGTAAGACTAAGAAAACCCCAGGGGCGTTCGTGCCCATAGGCCTTCTTTGTGGAGATATCGTAAAAACTATGTTATAATAATAAATATTTTTCTCATTATTGAAAAGTTTCGTTTGTTTTTCATCTAAATAATTCTAGAGTATCTTTTATACAGTTAGCTCTAGTAGTAACCTGTTTTCTGCAAAATTACTATAAGAAACAAGTTGTTACTAGAGCTAACTGTATAAAGGATACTCTAGAACTATTTAGATGAAAAACAAACGAAGCTTTCCAATAATGAGAAAAATATTTATTGTTATAACATAGTTTTTATGATGTCTCCACGAGGAAGACCCATGAGCACGAATGCCCTTGAGGTTTTCTTAGTCTCACTGAGGCCTATCTATGGCCAAAAGATGAAGCCGAAAGCTTTTAAACAGTTGGGAAACCTCCCTCGTAAGTCTGAAATACCTGTTGAGATTGCTTCAATATTTGTCTTGTATGTTCGTGATTTCGATTTGTCAATATTTGGGTGTGGATGTGGGTGAGACAAAGAGAAGATGAACATGCACACCCACACTCACCCAAGATTCGGTTAAGTTCCAATTGAATAGTGTCGTATAATGCTCTGAATCTAATCTATGGAAACACACTCACATCCACCCTCCAGAAAAAGATCTGTAAGATATAACATAATATCATATAAATGTCAAAATTAAAGTCACTATGAATATGCAATCAGATGAATAGCAGGAGTGAAATTCGAATAGTTTAACTGGTAAAACAACCGACCGAATATCGGCAGATATAGGTCCGAGTTCTGTTTCAAGTTGATGATCTTTCTCAATAGGCTTTTCATATACCTACTAAGGCATATTCATGGATATACACTGTCAAAAAGCTGTTAGCGCAATCCCTTGCGGGATTAAAAATGTGAAACACGATGGACCTATTGTTACTAATTAAATAGACATCGTTTTGTTCCATTTCTTCAAGATAGATTTGTAGCTTACCATTTATTTGATGCTTCAAAACTACAGTTTCTCTGTCACGGTTTGTGATGGGTATTGGGGTTTCTCTGTCACGGTCTGTGATGGGTCCGGAAGTTCTCTGTCACGGTCTGTGATGGGTATTGGGGTTTCTCTGTCACGGTCTGTGATGAGTACTAGCGTTTCTCTGTCACGGTCTGTGATGGGTATTGAGGTTTCTCTGTCAGGGTTTGTGATGGGTATTGGGGTTTCTCTGTCACGGTCTGTGATGGGTCCGGAGGTTCTCTGTTACGGTCTGTGATGGATACTAGGGTTTCTCTGCCACGGTCTGTGATGGGTATTGAGGTTTCTCTGTCACGGTCTGTGATGGGTCCGATGGTTCTCTGTCATGGTCTGTGATGGTGTCTGGAGTTCTCTGTCACGGTCCGTGATGGGTCCACAGGTTGTCTGTCATGGGTCCAGAGGTTCTCTGTCACGGTCTGTGGTGGGTATTTGGTTCCTCTGTCACGCTCTGTGATGGGTTCAGAGGTTCTCTGTCACGGTCTGTGATGGGTCCAGAGGTTCTCTGTCATGGTCTGTGATGGGTCCAGAGCTTCTCTGTCACGGTCTGTGATGGGTATTTGGTTCCTCTGTCACGGTCTGTGATGGGTTCAGAGGTTCTCTGTCACGGTCTGTGATGGGTCCAGATGTTCTCTGTCACGGTCTGTGATGGGTCCAGAGCTTCTCTGTCACGGTCTGTGATGCGTATTTGGTTCCTCTGTCACGGTCTGTGATGGGTATTTGGTTCCTCTGTCACGGTCTGTGATGGGTACTTGGTTCCTCTGTCACGGTCTGTGATGGGTATGAAATTTCTGTGTCACGGTCTGTGGGGGGGAGGGGGGGGGGGTGCAAATTTCTGCCCCTAAACACTTCAACACTCCTTTCAGATCGTGTTTCACAAAAAACATAGTGTACCATCATGGACAAGTAATTATAATTCATTCTTCTTTAAACTCTCATTTCATTTATTTGTATTCACCCACCCACACAATATATGAATTTGTTACTTCTTTCTTTCTAAATCTATTATATTTGCAATCAAAGTTTCATCATTATCGATATTTTCTAACAAAATTCAAACAACTCTGCTTCATCTGTTTGATTTCTTTCACTTTTCTTCCAACGATTGCGCAGCATATGTTATTTATTGTATTTAATCGTGCAGACATTACAACAAATGTGCTCCTTTTTTTCTCTTCAAATTTTGTTTCTATCGGAGAGAAAGTTAAAACAAATTGGTAGTTATTACATTTCTTTATGTTTATTTCTGAAGGTAAGAAGTAAAAATTTGAAAGAGAAAAGAATAAATAGTTAGAAATAATATTTATCAATAATCTAGGTTTCATTCTGCTCTCATTATCATACTTAACTGATACATTTTCAACCAATGTGAAAAGTTCTATATAAGTATTATTTTGTGAATAATTTTAATTTGTTGAACAAATATAAAGTAAAAGTAACAGATTAATTATATAAAAAAGTTTCTGATCAATCATTGAGTATCAGACAATAAGATTACTAATCATTAATTAATTAAATATATTTCATTATATTTTTATAATTAAATAATTAGATTATCGAAAGATTGAATTTATCTTGAAATAGAACAAGTTAACGTTTATTCTATGGCTTTGCTAACCCTTTTCTGAAAGAAAATCTAGAAAATTTCCAGAGAATTCATCGACAAAAAAACATGTTCAGTTTCAGTTTATGCATCAGATATTCTTATAAATAAATTTATAACCATTTCTCTATCAAGATAAGTGAATAGCACCACTATTTTTATACCGTGAAAAGGTAAAAAAAAACATACATCCTTTTTTCATCTAACAGTCTTTTTTTTCAGTAAACGAAACATGTCGTGCTACACAGAGCAAAAGCATCGACTACTACTTTTTATATAAACCCCGGCTTTTATATTCTCACTCAAGGAAGAGTAAGTAAGACATTTTAATGCCTCTTCAAACAAAGTGTACGGTGAACCTTACTATCTCGTAGAACGGTCAAAAACTCTTCTGATAATAAGAAGGGAAAAGAGCTTCTCTGAATGCATCAAAAGTTCACATACAAGAGTTAGAGCACCTTTAATCGCATTCTAAAATAATTAAGAAAAAACATTTAAGAATCAACATTTTCTCCGACTGCATGACCTAAACGAACATTGTCTCATATAGCAGCCTATCTTTCAAGAACGGAGACTGTTTAAGTAAAAGTTCTTATCTCCCTTTGACTTTTAACAGCTTCACTCGCACATCAGTCGACTTAATAAACCTATGGATGGTAAGGATTCTGCATAGTTTGATTTAAATACCCTCAATTTAAGCATACAATATCGAATAGATCTTTCATTTTGATTAAACCAACCAACTCATCGTCAGTCTTCGGCGTCTCTTCTAACTCATCGTTTCTCTAAATGCATCACGAATTTCAATACGAAAAAACCAAAGTGTCTCTAGCCACATTCTAACAGAAACTATTTACACAAAAAAAAACATTTCTATCAGTCTAACTTTAGACTGAATCACTTCACACGTATCAATCAACGAAACATGACATTGAAAAACCCTAAAGTCGACAAATAGAAAACTTCGTTTTTGATTGATGAATACTCAGATCGACAGAAGGTCAAACTTAAAAATAGAAAAACTCACATCTGCTTCGTTAACTTTCTGTCTAATCGAAGTCTCAGTAGAAAAAGCTAGTCTCAAATTCCAATTCTTCGCTTTCAATAAAAAAATGAAAAAGCTCATTTCTGATTAGTTGAACAAATAAACAAACATACGTGCATATTTTTTCATGCAGCATCCTTCTTTTGGTAAAGTGAATATGTTATTTTCTTCTCTCCTAACTAAAAGAAAAAATTATAGGTAAAAATACAAATTCTAAACAGATGAAACTGAATTGCATTCTGTGAGGGTGGGTGTGGGTTATTCTCTATTGATCATTCATATCCTAAGTTGACAAAAATATAAGATGTATAAATGTTTCAGTGTTCATGACTACCCATATCGATGGTGGCTGTTCAGTCGACTGATTTACACTGATAACTATAAACAATAATACATGTTGAACGTGAACTATTGGTATGGATATGAATATTCTCTAAAGTGTCACAAACAAGATCCATATTCTTGTGCATACTCTATTGCAAAGGAGCTCCCTTGTATACGAATTTGTCTTTCATTGTCCTGTTATCTTCAACGTTTCAATTTTAATAAGTGTAATTTCTCTTCGCAAATCTCACAGTTGAACCACAAATAAAAAGATTGCTTTCTTTCAAAAGTAATAAACGATTGATTCGATTCACTTTCAACTAATATCCACATGTATATCTTTCAACAGTATTCATCAGAACATAGTTATTAGGAAAATCTTTTCAGAAACTACAAATCTGAACTTGGCTCTATTCTATTAAAGAATCTAAAGAGAAATCTCTGATCAAAATATTCTTTTTTCTTGCAAACAAACTTTCGCAAAGATTTTTCATCACAATAAAAAAGGTTAAGCATTGTTCCTATTGCAAAAATAAAGGACACAGCAACCAAACTTTTTTATTCAAATTGATTATTACAACTGATTTTCTACATTAATTGTTTGCATAAGAAAATGATTCTTTCTTCTAACTGATTTAGAATTCAATTTACTAATTTGATCAAATGAATATCTTTTGTAATATTCTTTTATTTTTGTTACTAATAAATTGTCTATATATCCACATCGAAGAAGAACAGTGGAGTGCCAGACTCAACAAGATGTACAAAGAAGTTCATATAAAAAACTCAAATTAGATTTCTTCATATTGAAATACTGACGACTTACAATTAGCAATTCATATAAGTAAGATTTCTGCATTAATGACAATTTCAAGTGAATTGAGGGAATTTTCACAAATATTCTTTAAGCATCAATATCAACTTAGTCTATATGTATATTCTTCAGGATGTAGCTATGGTGCATGTCAACAAAATCGTCAGGTAAAAGTCTTTATTGTTCGAACTTTCTCGTAAAAATCATGAGAAAGATATTATTTTCATAGGGAGATGCTTGCAATTTTCTTTAAACTATTTCGATTAAATTTTTCCTCTGTCTTTCAAAAACTCATTCATATTTCCTAACGTATGGTTTCTACGAAAATTCTTTCACATGCATGGAATGTTGATACATTTTTATCAAAATTTTTTTGTTGAAAATTTCAAATATATCAGAGAAATAAATCATTTATTTAATAACTACAATAATTGAATTATTTCAAACCACCTTATGTGAGATAATATTATAGGAAAAATTTCATTTGGTAGATTTTGTAATGTATAACAATTTAATCATCTGAAAAGCAAATTGTTTTCACAATGAAAATTGTCATTACAAAAACATTTACGATTAATGAGAAAAACAATATATGGTTCATGAATTTATTTATTATTATTATTACTCATATATCTTTTATAAAATTAAATATTTGATCTATAGCTAATTTTATTTCTAAAAACGATATTATGAAAACCCTGAACATTCACATCAGATCGAAATACAGAACATACCAACAATAGTGTGATGATAAATATAAATAAAACTACTATAAACTATTGCTCAATCACTTAAAATCTATTCATTTTCGAATAACAATCATAGAATTTTTAGAAAAGCAAATACTATGAAAACCAAAGGAAGTTTTTTTTACCTTTCGAATAATTTGTATAAGAGAGAAACATCATTGGAAAACGATGAAAACATTCATATAATGGTCTATTACTATGATGAAATATTAGATTGACAAGTTTATTTGTATTTAGATTTGTTTTTTTTCCGTTTCACAAGTTGATATTTATAAAACTTTCCTATAATTGCTTCTTTTCATGATTCAATAGATATAAACAAATAAACAATACAGTGAGATGAAAACCAATTATTCACTTAATACTTGTAACAAGTGATGCGTTGTTCAATTAAAAAGAAAAAAAGTTTCACAGAACAATTACGAACACGGCATCTCTACTGTGTTTACACCTAACATTAAATCAAGTTCAAAAGAAAGTAGGATGTATACAGACGATAGCGGTTATAGTATCTAAACTTAATTCACTGTTTTGCTCTATATTTTGATATGAATTCATGAGTACTGAAGCATGTACCTCAACATTCATTTTTTTGTTCATAATATCCACCATCATGTAGTGAACAAATCTAATATTGAATAATATTATTAACATTGAAAATAATTTTGAGAGTTTCAGATTCGTGATATTTCTTTGAATTAGTCAATATAATTTAATATATATAAAGAATTAATTATACAGATCATTTATTGTTTGTTGTGTATATTATACAAAAAAAAATGTTTTAAATATGTCAATATCTCATGTATTTTTATAATGAAAAAGTCACATTTTGTAAAAAAATAATAAAAGTCAATCTTCTAGATTTTGATAAATTTCCAAACTTTAAGCATCAACATTCACAATGACAGTGACGTTAATACATTTAATGAACCAGTTTTTGTAATCAAACGAGAAGTTTCCATTGGAAGGAATTCAAATTGATGAATTAACTTCTCTTGGATCCTTATATCAAGATGAACCATATGAAAACTAACTTTCGATTCATTCATCAATTTTTGACTCGAAAAATCTCTTTTCGTTTCTTTTTGCAAGATATTATTCACTGAAAGTTTGTTTATGTACGTGAAACGAAGAGTTTCTTAAAATCTTTATGAAACAGAAAAAACAGACAATTATTCATGATTATTTTCGATAATATTATCGAAGAAATTATAAAATATAGTCAATTCATTGGTCTAAAATACTCTTCACGCGGGCAAGGTTTTCAAAGTGACGATATGAGCTGAGCATGTTGGGTGTTATTTTAAATTGTCGAGTACCATTGGCACTAGGTCGTAACGGAGTCAGATTTTTTAATGTCCCTCCTTTTGATTTTGAAAAAACTTTTTCGAAAAATTCTCAAATCTGCCTTCACAAAGATTGGTAAAGAAAAACAAAGATCGGAGTTTTTTATTTCAGCAAAAGTGAAATTCAAAAATCGGGCTCTATTATCACATAGCCCTAACTGTCTTCTATATAACGAAAAAAAATTATCATTTTTACATTAAGTCATTATTAAGAAAGATTTGCACATACAAACGGTACTATCAAAAAAACTTATTTTGAGAAAAAAGCTAAATACGTTTTAGAAATCGATCTTTGTAAATCACATCTGTATTATATGTGATCTTAATATTAAGTATTAATAGTCTCGTAATGATTAATATAAAAAAAACCTTGAAAATTTCTCGAAAAATACGACAGTAGAAGACAAGTTTAAGATAATAAGTTCGTCAAAATCAATTCATTTTGCGATAAGCCATAAATGTCTAATGGAGAGCTCTCTTAATAATTTGACAGAAGTTATAAATAAATTTGTTGATGAGTTTAAATTTATTTTAATATCTAAATCACATTGATGATATTTATACTTTGTATGAACAAAGAATATTTAAGTTTTTAGATGAAAATATATATAAAAGCAAAATTAGATAGATTTTTTGTCAAGACAAGTAGTCAAAGGCGAATAATCTTTTAATTCGCTGGTACTGTTAGAGTATAAACTCTAGCTTAGATAGAGACTGTAGTAGAACATCGAATAAGTCATTTTTGATTATATTATTGATTCAGAAGTTCTTTCTTATCCAAAACAGCATCCGTGAAGAGAAAGTGAAAAATAGATACAGTAGTGAATTATAGGTTCTATGATGCATAGTGTTTATAAAGTTTTTTGTTTTCGTACTAAAATTAGTAATACCATAAATCCAAGTGAAATATTTGTAAATAGAAATTTAGTTTTGAAATAGAACAATCATTGATTGTAGTATCTATTTCAGATTGATGACCATATTAACCATTAATGTTTATTTATTTCAAGAAAAATTTGTCAATCGATTTATATTAATTCTAAACATCAAAATAACTTTGAATTCTCCAATGGAGGGTGGGGTGTGGGTGTGGGTGCGTATGGGGTGTGGGTGGGTGTGGGGTATGGGTGGGTGTGGATGTGGGTGGGTATTGACTTCTCTTTATCCAAATCCACACCCACCCACACCCACACCCACACCCACACCCACCCACACCCACACCCCACACCCACACCCCACACCCCACACCCACATCCACACACACCCACACCTACACCCATACATCCATACCCTCACACTCACCCCAACCACCCACACCCACCCCCCCTCCCCACACCCACACCCACACCCTCATCGATTAGCATCGGGACAGTCAGTAACCGTTGCTAATCTCTTAGCTTTCTAAGGAGAAAAAAAGTGCCATTTACTAGCTACCCGTCAAAGTAACTTTCCGGTAACAGTAATTTTTCCGCTAAGTATAGTCATAGCTACATCGCGTACTCATTTTTTTTTCTCATAAAGAATTCTTTTATTTACATTACGATGCATACACTCGACTGTACGGTATTGTCAGATGAATCTGTGGTCGTTTTATTTTTATTCTTCAGTGATGCAATGCTTTCGGCTACCTTGAGAGCCATTTGGTTTAAATCCTCGACGTAACCAATTTTTTCCATGTTGTTTAACAAGTTTTTTATCCATTCTCTTTTTTTTGACGCATCTTTCTGGGTTTCGACAAAAATGAAAGAATCTCTAACTTGTGTTGGACCACCTCTGAGTCCTACTGCATAATTTAATTCTTGAAAGCAATATTTACTGTCAGAGTAAGCCTCCGACAATAAAACGATAAATATCGTAGCACTCTCAATTGCATGAGCATAACTACTCCAATCATTGTCCTCCGTGCTCGTCGCGTTTTTATTACGAACCCAAAGTTTTATACTTGTGTGGTTGCGTAGCTCTTTAAGAAATCGTTCACAAAAACTATCATCGGCCCAGTTATAACTAATAAAGGCCATTGGTTGCTTTCGAACTTGCAATGGATGAGGTTCTCTTGTAGGATTTTCTTTTATATTCAGATTGGACCAAATTCGTTTGGCAATATCTTGTTTTGGTTGTTTGGCAAGACTTCCAATTAGAACATAAAATTGATTATCCTCTTTCAATGGCTTTCGATATTCAGGATAATTAGAAATACATAACAGAATTTTTAGTAAAGCCTCTGAAATAAGCTTTTCGAGATCATCAGCATCTTGATTAAATAATAATCCATAGCAAGATATGAGAAGTGTCGCGAAGAATGTTATTGAGTCTGATTTCACGTCTGTTTTATCATCCAAAATATGTCGTACAACAGTATTGTTGGAAAAAGCAACTTCAAGTGAATTAAGAAATTCCGACAAGTGAAATCCATCGGATGTCCAATTTTCAGAACCAGCAGCCTCCTTACACTTAGAATACAGTTCATCACTAACTATACAAATTAAGGGTTCATTTATTCTTTGTTCATCATCGCTTGTAGCCAATGCAATTAGTGACATACCAAATGGTTGACGTAATTTATTAGGTTTGTCCTTATTTTCTAATTCCAATAATGATTTGTATTTCATTAAAATATGAAATAAATTTTTTTCTCGTAACGCTTGTAATCCCTCCTTGTGCCTTGAGAGATTTTGAATAATTCCAATGACAGCTTCAGCTGCGTGTTTCATATCACCTTGGAATGACAGTTTCTGAAACCATTCTGCAACCGATTTTGCATATTTGGCGCTAACAAACATGGGTACCAGTGGCGTTTTATGAGTTAAATTCCATACAATGCTCAAAATATGACCTATTATATCCATGTAATTCTTGTCTTGGGAAAGATCTTCGATATTAGCAAAAAATTCATCAACAAACTCGCGAAGCTCTTCCATAAGATTTTCGTACTTTTTGCTGAATTCATCCGTCGATCGAATGTTTGATTTAGAAACGAAGCGAGCAATTGCCCGCATTATTAATGAGAGAATCTGCTGGTGTTCTGAGAAGCTAGTGGCTGAATATTGCTTGATAGTTGTATCAGGACCTAAAAATCGTGAATATTTTCAGTGTTTTTAAAGCATCGACATAAATATGTTTGAATATTCTTCTCTTTTTATTTAGATATCCTACTGGTATTCAGAAGGCATTTCAAAATAGTTTGAATCGAATATGAATTTTCGTTACTCTATGGCTCATTCCAAATGCTAAAGATTGACAGTAATCGGATGTACAGCTGTGTGTATAGTAATCAATTGAAATAGGAAACATTTTTCAATAATTCGTCTTAATATGCTATCTTTTTCAATTTATGAGGATATTCTCAGTTTTAACCTTCGTACGAGATAATAAATAATCAAAAAATGCAATTTTCTTCTGAAAATGGCTCACAGATGCATTTCTTGATCAATATAAGTTTGTGGACGATTTCAGCTTCAAAAGATACTTATATATGTCTCTCTATATTCTATTTATCAAAATTCATCGTATACTGCGCGAAGAAATTTGATAATTCAATATTTTGTAATATTCAATATCGTGGGATGAAAATACCTTTTGGAATACAAAAATAAAACGAAATATTGCAGTAATAATTTCTATCGATTAAAATCTAAGACAAAAATGTCCTTGGTCAAGTGCTCAGCGTAGAATTTACTGTAGTTTGGAAATATAGAATTTCAACATAAATCAAAAGAATCCGTTCATAGAGACGAAATATTTGTTAATTCTTCTAGTTTCATGAACACCTACATACTGCCATACATTCAATTAAAGTAACATGTGGTATTGGCAATTATACTCTGATGAGTCAAAACAACTCCGTTTGTTAAATAATCGAAAACAGTATTGTACTTTGATTGAAGCTCAACTCTTTACGACCAAGATGGGTGGAATTAATACATGACATACAACGCTCATTCATAAGTCGCATTACCTCTATTTGATACCGTCTTGGAAAAAAATTGCTTAAGGCATTTTTCGACTAGATCATATTTAATAAAATTGGTAAGAATTGAATCGAGAATATTTGCAGCATGCATTTCGAAAATATAATCATTGTTAAATATCTCACGAGACTTCGATGTATCTTTGTCGGATTCTTCGTCGCTGCTTGTACTGGATTCTTCGTCACAGTTCGTGTTGGATTTTTCCACATTGTTTCTGTCGGATTTTATTGCACTCTTTGTGTCGGGGGTTTCGGCACCCTTTGATATTAAAATGGACATTTTCAACAAATGGAAGACAAAAATTTTTATTACTATTTCAAAGTCTCTTTTTGAGGTGATAGTTCTGTACTTGTCCATAGCATAAAAACGAATAAGTATATTCAACGTTGGAACTACAGTTACGATTTGTTCGACCAAGGGCATGTCTTTTGGCGTCACTTCCTTGAGCTCGCGGACCACGTTGGAAAAATTGTCGATCTTCTTTTTTTCTTTTTCAGACTTCTCTATATCCTCGGAATTGTTGGCAGAGACAGCTAATAGGCACGCTTCTATCTGTCCCAACCATTTCAGATAGGTTTGCGTTTTCTTTCTAGACTTGTCTGCACATTTGTTCTCCATTTAAGAAAAAAACAATAATAAGACTCTTGAAAATCTGAAATTCACTGTATTAAAATAGGGACAAAAGTGAAACTACCAAGAAAGTCTCTTTCAATTAATTCTGTTTATATGAAAACATGTTAAGATCTAGTTCTTACCGAGCACAATCTACTCTGATCAATTGATGGACGTCAACCGTTCTCATTTTTTTAAATTTATAGAACATATTATTTCATGAATGTCCAAGTAGGTCCTTTTAAAAAAAATTCCTAGGTTCTATATTGATAAAAATTTTTCTGAAAGCACAGTCGTCAAAAACATGGCGTTTTTTCTGGCATCGATATCACGTCCAATAATTATCTGCATTAATTACAATTTTTACTATAACTCTGTATAAAGCTTGAGTCCTTGCAATTAAAAACCTAGTTAAAATAGATGAACCAATGACGAGTTGATCTAAACTAGTAAGTAGAGCAGAAAATAATTTATGATATTTCGTCCACATATACGTTGATTGAACAGATGCTCCCAAAGAGTTAATCTTGCTGCCAAAGAGAAACCTCATTTCATAGTCACTGTGCTAATACTTGAGGGTGGGTATGGGTGTCGGTGTTTTATTTTCCATGGACTGTAAGGCTAGAATCTAGAAACCGAAAATCGCCTGTGTCTGTATGTATGTCTGTAACACGTAGTAAAAATGACCACAGCCATGGTAAAAATGGCCATAGTGGTGGTACAAATGACTACAGTCATGGTAAAAATGGTCATAGTGATGGTACAAATGACCACAGCCCCGGTACGAATGACGATAATTATCGTACATAAGACGGTTACTATGGTACAAATGGCCATTATGGCTGCGGCAAGTGTTCCAGACAGACACAAGCGACTTGCTGTTTCTATGAGCTTCAGAAAAGTATTGATGGGTAGATATTCGTATGTTCCAGACACCTAAAATCGAAAAGTCTAGAATCCAGTGAATTGATTTCGATTCACAATACTCGTTAACAATTGCTACCCCGCTTCCTCCCCCCCAACCGCTCTCAAAATCATGATGCTGCTGAAAATAACATTATTTTCTAGGGTCTTCTGGACCATAGAAACTAGCTAGAAAGCTGAAAATTTTGTACCAATATCTACATAACAAAATTTCTCTCTCTGATCAAGAGTTACGCCCTTGAATATCTCTTCAGTCAATATCTATATGCACAAGATATGAATAAATGAAGATGCTTTTTGCACACTTTGTCGTCCACGCCAACTCATAGATGGTTCATCTATTTAAGCTATATATTTGATGGTAAGTTTTCAGACTGAGTATGGACTTAAAGTAAACGGTAGTGTCATATATCCAGGACATCGGGGAAGTCAGATTAGTAAAAGAAGAAACTAGATATGCCGAATCGATGAGACTGATTAAATGCGAAACAAAATCACTGAAAACTACCGTATCTCCATAAGGAGATGCATTTTCTGAGGATACCCCAGAGTAAGTATTCGATAGAAAGTTTTTCATCGGGAGAAGCTGAAATATGCCGGCATCAGAAGTTACTTCTGTTAGGGAGATGTTAATGGTGTTCAGAAGATCCTATCTTTGTGTAATGGATAGCTGTTCACTTTTATTGATTGTGTTGTCTTCTACAAGTTATTTTTCAGTGGGTTTGTTGTATCTAGCTTCTCTTTGTTCTCTTCTACCTTCTCAGATGTCCCGGATATGTGAAGGAGTTCATTTTTTGAAGAGAGATGATCTCAGAAAAATTTCAATATTGTGGAAACCGAACAAATATTTTTTCAAATAGCTGACGCAGAAATTCATCAAAAACTTGTCTCTATAAGATATTAAAAAATTTGGGCAAATTTACATCCATTCATGGAGCACGGTAGGTGAGGGCATAAGCGGGCTGACTCTCTAATAAATACAAAACCTTCAGCATCAATCTTGACGTCGATAAATTTTTAGTTTGTGCTAGCCTTTTTGGTATCAGTGATGATAGTAATGTTTTATATTCTCGAATTCTTGTCCTTCAGACATTTGCTACGGTTTCTTTTCTTTTTGAAAGAACGGTAGTACGGAGTGCAAAAAAAATTGTCCTCTCGAGATTAAAATGTAACTAAATATTTATTTATAATTATAAATGAACTAAATTATATACCAACAGTAACAATAGTGAATGTGCAAATATACAATATATACAACAACAGTTTTATAAAATCTTACAATTGAAAAATTTAAATCAAACAATAGTCACTATTTTTTCATCCTACACTGTAAAAAAAAAGAGTAGAATATTAAACTCTTGCCCTATGTGCAACTTTTCATAAACCCTCGAAGGGTATATGACGGTCTCATAAACCCTTTAAGGGTTTATGAGCCAAAAGGTTTATGAAAGCAAGGGTATATGAAAATAAAAAGGGTTTATTACCTTGAAATTCAAGGGAAAGAGTTTATGATTCTACGGATAAAGGTATATTATTCTACCCTTTCATCAAAATGGTTTATGATTCTACGGATAAGGGTATTTTATTCTACCTTTTCATGAAAAGGGTTTATCATTTTACTGATAAGGTTTTATTATTCTCGAAGTTAAGAAAAACGATTTATGACCTTTTGTATTGTTGTAGATATTCTACTGTTTTTGCAAAAGGATTTATTTTTCTTTTGCTTCAACGTTTAAATAACAATATTTAAAGTGTTCTTTCTTTGTACATTGTAAAAAAATGGTAGAATAATAAATCTTCCCAGGTCCAAAAATCCGACGACGGATCCGATCGGACCCGAAAACCGACAAAAATCCGATCGGAATCCGGGTTACAGAATTCCGATCGGATCCGACAATCGGATACTCATACGTTTCCGATAATTTCCGATTGTCGAAATCCCCATTTATTCCGACGGTCGGATACCGATCGGATTTCTATAGGATTATATCAATCTTTCAACCGAGGTCCAAAAAATCCGACAAAAATCCGATCGGAATCCGGCTTGCAGAATTTCGATCGGATCCGACAATCGCATACTCATACGCTTCCGATAACTTCCGATT